GGAACGACAGATAAAAGCATCCTGCTTCAAGTAGAGAGTTAAACTCCTTCGGTGGTGTTGTTTTGGCGTCACGGTCATTAGCGCTTGCAATGCAAGCAAGTGCTACCATCGTAAGTCTCTGAATTGATTTGTTATTGAATTGATTAGTGTGCCAACAGCCCGCTACTTCGGCGGCTGGCTACAAAACACCATATCGACCGAAGGGACAACTGGCAATATAGCGGTCTACCATCGTTTGTGGTGTTCGAGGAATGGTGCTAATGAGGACGGTGCCGTTCGGTTCTGCTGCGCCATCGGTGAGAACTCCGAAGCAACACATCGGCAAACGATGCCCACCATGACCAAAATCTTGATATTCACATAGCACACAAACGAAAAGTTGTTGTTTGTATTATTGTCGTAGAAGCGCTTCGATCTGAGCGCAACATCATGTTTACTTCAGATCTACTTAAGGATTTTTCATCTAGCACAGACGGGTTACAGGCACCAACACCTGCCTCACGATCGTTTGCTTCGACTGCCATTACTACGGATATCAGTTGATGCTGCCGCACGGGACGGACGGATGGACGGACAGACCAGCGGCGGGCGGCAATCGCCGCTAGTAGATCGAACATTTCTATTCGTACAACTGCTCCAAGTACCACTAGTGCCGTCACCGCACTAACGAACTGCCTCTTGCCTTTTGTCGAACACAGTTTCGTCTATCTACCTATCTGACTGCTGCCTGGCAGCAGCTAGCCAACCAGTCGCTCATAACAGCCTCTATTCGTGTACAACTCGTACAGTCTCCTCATGACTTCTCACTTATGCGGGACCATCCAACAGACAAATGGACACGAATGTAGGTGGCACTTTTTTGTTTGTTGCGAATTTTGTGTGCACTTTTCCAGCCATCAAGCGCTGTAGTCTTTCTGGCTGATTGACCGTCTGATTAACACGATTTGCACTGTTGTTTACGCGAAGGCAACTATTCCTGTTGTCCGTGTCCATTGCGTGTCCCTCTCTGCGTGTACGTGCGAATTTTCCGTTTACTTGCACCACTAGACGGTAGGTGGACAGAGGCTAGTTTCTGACCACCGAATAAACTCTCTACGCTGGTTTGTGCTGCTTTGTTCTTCTGCTGCTATTGTTGCTGCTGCTGATGTTGTTGTTGCTGCTGCTGCTATTTAGCATGAGCTGCTAATGCTGAGACTGCTGCGACTGTGGGGCTAGCTAGCACTGCTTTGCCTGCTGCTGCTGTTGTACATTTGCTGCTAGGGCACAGCACCAAGGTCCAGAGACTCACTACAACACATCGCTCCGTCCAAGTAACAATCAGCCCACAGCAGTCGCAGCAGCACAAGCAGACACATCAACTAGAAGAGAGGGCAACAGCGGAGACAACCAGTCAGCGACCATCGACATAGGAAGCACTAGTGAATACGCCATCAAGCGTATCGACAGACACCAGCAGACACACACACACACACACACACACACACACGGCCGGCCGGCCAGCCAGTGCCAGTACGAGTATTGCAGACGACGGCCTGCGCAGCGAGTCAACAAATGGAACCACTGCCACTCGCAAGTGCACCAGCAGAAGCAGTCATGACTTCACGCCTGTAAGCTCTCAACTGAGCGGAGTCAGAAGTGCCACATCTTGACGCGCGTGTCTGCCGAGCATTGGCGACCAGAGCTAGCTCGAGATCGTCTGCCCACGAACCCCAACAAATATCTACGACGACAACGATGATGACGACGACGCCGACGATGACGATGACGACAACAACAACAACAACAACACTTTATGCTCCTCAATGATTAGCGTTATGTCCACACACCGCTCTGCTAGTTCAGCGGATGTAAAGCTCCGGTAACCAATACAAAATATACACAGGCACAGACACACGCACACACACACGCTTGCTCGCCATGATCGAATGAACGTATTCGTTGCGGGACTGCTCAAAACTGGCGGGTGTGTGGGGACTATGGACAGGCGCTGGACTGGAGATGCAATGCCAATGTTGTTACAGTCACGCTGTTGTTGAAGATGTTATTACTGCAGCTGCTGCTGGTATCGGACGCAATAACAAAACAAGGCATAACAGCAGAACGCGTCAAACCATAAACGAGACAGAAGCGGGACACGCAGAACGAGAATATCGCTGTGTGTATATATTTTAGGAATGTATAGGGAAGTGGTGATGGCAGCGGCTGTGGTTGAGATCGTGCCGTTAGTAACAGGTGAATGGTAGTGATCAGACGAACAAACACGGACGACCGAGCCAGCTATGTCGCTAGAACGTAATCAGACCGTCGTCAGCATCAGCAGCAGCATTGTCGTTGCTTACTGCTACACTTTTGTTGGAGAAAAAGCCAGAGAATTCGAGGCAAAGGGGGACAGACCGAGAAAAAAAGAGACGTACAGAATGGATCAAATGACCAGGCGGAAGCCATGAACGTGGTAGCGCTTGATCACATACACAGATACAGGATGTTTTGAAAAAATGTGCACACTGTGATTTAATTTGGACATTTTTTTTTCTGACAGCACAATAATTAGCGGTAATCACGCGAATTTATTGCGAAAATATTACACGTACAATAGCACTTTGGTTAAGACACTATCTGTGTGATTTAAGGGCATATCTTGAGGAGAATTATTTAGATAGATGGCTTCAACGAAAAGGTTATATGGAATATTCTGCCCGCTTCCCAGATTTGATGCCAATCGACTTTTTTTTTTTGGACAGTACTTCCTAGATAGTCTACGCTATAAATACAACAATACAACAATTTCGAAGTGTAAATCAATAGCCCACGGTAATAAGCGGACGTATTGATACCGGTGATAATTTTGAAGATGTGCGATAGGGAAGAAAATGACGCATTTCATGTGGATTCTTTTGCAATGTAAATATTAATTTAATGGAAATGAAAGTGGGAGTTATAATCATTTAAATTGAGCGTACATTTTTGGAGCACCCCCTATATATACATATATAAGAAGGCCGACGCATTTCGGATTTGATAGTAGATAGGGTAGTGGAGAATTGGAGTGTACGCAAAAACGCGAATGGAAGTATTAAACGTGTTCAAATAGATTCGCCACCACGAACGAAGGTGGAGAGAGCGGTGGGATCGAGTCATGCAGTTTCGAGTTTTCCGAAGTTGAACAAGGGGCACCCAAGAATAGCTAGCTTCAATGACGCATGGAATACTCTTGGAGACACGTGTTTTTAAATAGACCAGTACAGTGCAACTATAGCTACGGGGTCGCTCTTCTAGATTTCCACATGTGAACCCTGATGATCTACCTAGAAGAGGGTGGCTTTGGACAAATAGAGATTTATGTACGAGTAGGGAATGCCAACGAAGAATCTAACACCGAAATAATGAGCAAAATTTTCTGTAGATGAAGTGCAGCGTATTATTGCCTGTCATTCTTCCTATATAATTATTATTTTTATTATTATAGTCTTGGATTTTTAACTTGTGTACAAGTGGAAATGAGTTTTTTTCGCGAATGACTATCTGAAAAACCTGCAATCATTAATAGGAGGATTATTTGGGTAAAAAAAAAACTGATCACTTTAATTCAACGCACCTAAGTCTGGTTCACTATTAACCGCTCAGAATGCGATGGGGATTGCTGCAATGATCTATTCAGTGTAACTGAACGGGGTCACCTTTTTACGAAGTGATCACTTTTCCTAACTAAACTATAAACAGACACAGCAAAAACATATGATCATAAAATGAATGCTATGGAAACAAATGAGTTAAGATATGTTCTGTGTTGACGACCTTGGAAATACGATGGTCTGCGGAGTCTGCCTCGATTTTGAAAATATAGGCCTCGATTTCTGCACCCAACTGCCCAGCTGCCCTATATTGTTTCCTTGCACTTTAGCTCAAGAGCGACAATATACACAAGGTTACCTAATAACAGTTACAAAGGAGCACAGCTAGATTCTACTGCCGTAAAGCAGACATCACAATCAAAGTATAGGTTTGTTTGAAGGTCCACCTCAGTTAAGAAGAGCAAAGAAGAGATCGAGCCCATGACAACTGAGCTTATAAAACAAAACCACAAACTTGTGCTATACAAAATCGCGCACAATAACTTTAATAAATACACTTTATTAATGTATTTTTAACCCACGCAAAATCCAGTGTATAACATACAATTTTATAAAACTTCCCACCAAACCACAAGCATCGGTTTACCGATTAAAGTGTACTTTTAGGTAACATGTAGGACACCAGATTGGGAACAAGACGAAAGTAACAGCATACTGTTTAGCAATGTTAAAGTACAAAGAACGCACGTGATTCGCATGAATAGGCTTTTGATTTTCAGGTCTACAACAGGCACAATTAGTGTACCCATAATTGTAACAGAGCAGTCGGCACCTTTAATTAGAATGGGCTGCGATCTACGAGAGCGCTACGCGCGGCGAAGAACAGGCCAGTGTAGCAAAATAATGGACGATTTTAGAAGCGATCAGACCCAAGCTTTGCTGATTTTATTGAAGGTCACATATGGGATAACAGCATACTGATAAATAAAAAACAGACTAGTAAATGCAATTTTGACTGAAAGAAAAGCACAGTTAAACTAACTTTCCTTGCACTTATGTGGGCTCACCTCATCCAAAATTGCAGTCGATAATACAAACGTGCCATTTGCTCATACTTCTATATATGCATGTCTTTATATATGTCCTATATATATACGTTTGTCAGCTTATGTCAAGCAAGTGCTGGGCTTGTAGAGAAAAAACTGTAGAAGTGACGACAATGATTGATGCAATGTGTGATCGACAAAAACTATCCCATTTATTAATTATTTGATTACTTCATTTGACTGAATTACATGAAATTTCGTTATTTTAATTTGTAT